AGGGGACACCGAGGGGACAGCGAGGGGACAGCGAGGGGACAGCGGTGACGTCTAAAACTTGAACTCCTTGTACTTCTTGCCACCCCCGCGAGCGTCCTGGGGCTGCGCCTTCCGCTTCTTCTGCTGCGGGGACAGGAGGGGACAATGAGGGGACAATGAGGGGACAATGAGGGGCCGGGGGGGGTGACAGGCCAGTGCCAGCCTCACCTTCTGCTTGGCCGCGTGCTCGGCCACCATGTCGCTGAAATCTTCCTTCTCCACCTGCGCCTGCTGCTCCCGCACGTGCTCCTCGTATTTCTGCGTCATGGCCGTGGGGTCCAGCTCCAGCTCCTCGGGGGCCAGCGCCACCTCCACGCCCTGAGCCTCTGCCACCGGCCCCTTGCGGCCCATCACCTGCGGGGACAGCGCGGGGACAGGGTCAGTGCCACCCTGGGGACACGGGGACAGGGTCAGTGTCATCCCGGGGACACGGGGACACCGCGGGGACAGGGTCAGTGTCACCCCGGGGACACGGGGACAGGGTCAGCGCCACCCTCTGACCCCGCCCTTTGTGCCCCATCACCTGCGGGGACACTTTGGGGACATTCTGGGGACAAGGACAGGGCCACCCCCCCTCCTCCCCCCTGTGCCTCAGCCACCAACTCCGTGTTCCAAAACCTGGGGGGTCCCAGGGGGTTATTTTGGGTCCCAGGGCGGTTTTTTGGGGTCCCAGGGTGTTTTTTTGGGGTCCCAGGGGTTATTTTGGGGTCCCAGGGCGGTTTTTTGGGGTCCCAGGGGTTATTTTGGGGGGGGTCTCACCGCAGACATGTCGTAGATGTGGGTGGGGGTTATTTTGGGGTCCCAGGGCGGTTTTTGGGGGTCCCAGGGTTATTTTGGGGTCCCAGGGCGGTTTTTAGGGTCCCAGGGGATATTTTGGGGTCCCGGGTGTTTTTTTGGGGTCCCAGGGTGGTTTTTTTGGGGTCCCAGGGTTATTTTGGGGGGGGTCTCACCGCAGACATGTCGTAGATGTGGGTGGGGGTTATTTTGGGGTCCCAGGGCGGTTTTTGGGGTCCCAGGGTTATTTTGGGGGGGGTCTCACCGCAGACATGTCGTAGATGTGCGTGGATCCCATCATGGCCGTTCCCACGGTCGCCGTTCGTTTTTCGGGGACCACCGTGAACAGCTGGGGGGTCTCGCTCCTTTTTTTTGGGGGGGGCACAGGGGTCTCCTGATCACCCCAA